GGGAGAAGCATTGATGGAATGGTGCTAATATCGAGAGAACGATCTCTAGGGTTTGAACAGGTTGTCTGCGGGCCCAGGCCCCCGTGACAATCAAGAAAAATGCAAATATCCCCAACAGAGCGGCCGCAACGGGAGGTTTCTCCGAGAAGGGGGGCTGCAGGCCTGTGGCGCAAGATGGATCAGCTCTATGCGGGGTGACTGAAAATGGGCAGAGAAGGCGGGTGTGAGTTGTTGGTGGGCGGCACACTCTAGGGCAGTTGCGAGTGTGGAGAGAGCGGCAGCAGGGTCCTTGGCCGAGGCACCAAGGACAGCAGAGGTGGTGGCAGGAAAAGGCAGCGGGCGGAGACCCCCGACACCGATCGATGCCATCCTTCGGGGGAGGCAGCCGACACGGCGGCCCCAGATAGGAGCGCAGCCTCAGGTCCGGGCTGGACAGGGCCCAGGAGGCGAAGGAGGCCTCTCACAGCCATCAACCCCACCCACCATGGCCGGCGCAGCGGGCCAGGGACAGGCCCCGCTCCTTCTCCAGAAGAGACGAAGAAATCGAGGAGCTGAAGGCAGCAATTTCCTCGCCCCGACCCCCACACTCCCGACATCAGAACAAGCCAGATTAAAAAAAAAAAAAAAAAATCCCCTCACCGAAATGTGCAGCGGCTCCGGAGCGAGAACAGCGCTCGATCCTCCACCCGCCACCACCGCCTTCTTCTCCGCCTCCGACTCCTCCCCCGCCGAACGCGCAGCGGCTGGCGGCGGCGGCTGCGGCGGCGGCGGAAGCAGAGGCGGTGGCGGCGAGTCCCGCCCTTTTCGCCGCGTCTGAGGCGGAGGAGGAGGAGAACAGGCAAGCCCCGCCCCCAGAACCGCGCTGACCAATAGGCTCAACGTCCCTCTGCGGGAAAAATACACACAACCAATGGGAACCTGAGGAGTGGGCTCACGTCAATGGTTGGGACGTGGCAGAAAAAGGGAAAAATACTTGGACTGTCTCCACGCCCCACTCCCCCATCTCTCGGAGGGACTGTACCCATTGGGCGAAGAGCGGAAAGACGAAGCCCGACTCCACACTTCCCCCGCCCCAGTCCGGGCCCACCCCCTCTCCCTGCAGCACTGCGACGTTTGGGGGAGGGGGCGGGGCAGCGTGTTGGGGCCGAGACGGCACAGCCTTTTGTGGTTTGGGCTGGGAGAAAAGGGCGGGGTCTCAGGGAGAGGGATGCGGGTGGGGAGAATCGAGGGAAGGACTGGCGCAGTTAGACTTTTTCAGAAATACTAACAGCAGCTACCAAGATGGAGGCCTTAAAATCGGTCCTAATTCGACTGGAAACCTAACAAGGTTAGGATTTCCTAGCATAAAATGCAATCATTTGCGATTCACGAATCAGTGGGGGAAAAAATGGAAAAGAAAAAAAAAAAAATCACAGGAGGAAGGGCGTATTTGTCTACCCTGATGGTACGCACTATGTAGTGCTTTCGGTCTACCCTCCTACCCCGCAGTCAGACCTTGCCCCTACGTTTCTGATTCTGCTGGAGCCGGGCGAGGGAATAAGGAAGGCCTGCCTTTCCTCTATATAGCCTTGGCCTGACCGAAGCCTTGCAGTTTACGTCTTGAGGCTAACGGGTTGTCAAGCCGGGAAGTAACAGCTCCCATCACTTGCAAACAGAATTAATACAACAGCTGTAGTCCCCGGACATCTTGCTTAATTTAAACGCGGGTAACAGTTTAATTATGTCAGCGATGCAAAATTGTTTTTTCGTTCCGCACATCTCCTCTTTCATCCCGAAACATGTCCGCTTCTCCGATTACATTCCTGCTTTCCTCTCTCAACTCCCCAGCCCACTCCACCACCCCGCCCCATCCCCATAGCCTAGTGCCCAGGATATATTTATCGCGTCCCCTCCCCCACGAATTAAGAGCCCTATTGCTTTGGCTGTCCTTTGGTAACTGCAAAATCCGCCAGTTGAACTGAGTTCCCCCCCACCCCGCCCCCGCTGTTGATGAAAACAAATTATCTGAAATTTATCGTAGAAACAGGCTATGAGGATTTGCTAGACACTTTGTGAAACCAAATCTAATTCCCAGCCATCCTTCATGTTGTATATCTCACCAAGAATCCACTTCCAATTTGATATTGCTCTTACCTTTACACATGCTGCTGTTAAGAGTTGTACTTTCTATCCAAGTCCCTCCCTCCTTGAAAGAGAATTCATATTTTAATTACATTCTTCCAGTTTCCTTTAGTCTTATAGAAAGTACTAACCTGCTTTTGGGGGTAGTGTTTTTCAAATTGCGATCTTTTTCATATCATATTTGTGTATATGACTCAGCATTATTTTCTTTGAATTAATGTATTTTTCTTCATTTTCTTTAAGAAGGAAACTTGATGAAAGTGCTGTAAATTAGCAACTTAGTATCACTTATCCTAAGTTGAAAGTAACTGTAAAGGTACCCATGAAATAATGTTTTAGTTAGAGCCAGAAACCGTGGCACATGCTTATAATCGCAGTGACTTCGCAGGCTGAGGCAGGAGCATCGCAAATTTCAGGCCAGTCTTCAGCAATTTAACTAGATCCTGTTGTGGGAGGGGGGATCTGGTTAGAAACTATTGCCCACTAAAGGCTCTGAGACTAAAAAACACATCTTTTGTTGAAAAGATAGATTATCAAGCATTAGACAAATATTAAAGACAGCACAAAAACATTTTTTATCATAACCATCAAAGGATAGAAAAATAGAACCAAAATAGCAATCACTTGCTCACTGTGTGACTCATTGTTTTTAATCTTGCATGCATGTCGCAAGTACACTCATCCAAAGTATCATGTGATCTATGTTACTCTGAGAAATGAACTCTAGATATTCTCATACTAGTTCCTGCCTCTGGGCAACCTACTTACCTCTTTGGCCTTGAATTCCTCTTTATGGGAAACTAATAATACCTATGTATGGGTTATGTAGATTAAATGGGTTGTATAGATTAAATAACTTAATCAACATAAAGTATATGATGCATAGAATGAAGTACTAAATACATATTAGCTTATGTAACTGTATTAGTGTATGCATATATAGATACAGTGTATTATTGATTCTAGAGTTGGGAAGCACTCCCTAAGCCAATGAATTGAACTAACCACATGGTATATAATGCAATTTTTTTGGTGTTTTTTAAATCCTTTTATTAGTGAATTATAGTTATACATAATAGTTGGACTTATTTTGACATAATCACACATGCATGGAATATAATTTGCTTCTTTTCAGTCTGGGTTGCCTCTTCTTTCCTGCATTGCCTTCCTATCTCTATTCCCCCTCTCTCTACTGGTCTTCCTTTTATTTATTTATTTATTTATAATTGGCACTTTATAGATATACATGAAGGTAGAATTCACTGGTATGGTTATACATGCACATAGCATATTTTGTCTAATTCATTCTTCATTTCCTCCCTTTCCTGTCCCTCCTCCCTCCCCCTCAATCTCCTTCTTCACTTGTCTTTCCTCTAATAATATCTGACCCCCTTCCTTTCTTCCTCTTACTTTGTTCTAGCTTCTGCATAGGTTAAGAGAAAACATTCAACCCTTGATTTTCTGAGTTCGGCTTATTTCACTTAGTGGGATGTTATCTAGTTCAATTCATTTACCAACAAATGCCATAATTTCATTATTTATGGTTAATACTCCACTGTGTATATACACCACATTTTAAAAATCCATGTATCTATTGATGAGCACCTGGACTGGTTCCATAAGTTGGCTATTGCAGTTGCACTACTATAAAAATTGATGTGTCTGTATCACTTATATATGCTGATTTTAGTTCTTTTGAATAAATGCCACTGATTACATGGAAGACAGAGATAGCTGGATCACATATTGGTTCCTATTCTAGCTTATTTATTTTTTTATTTTTTAAAAAGAATTTCCTACTGTTTTCCAGAATGGTTGCACCAATTCATAGTCCCACAAACAATGTATGAGTATACCTTTTCCCCCATATCCTCACCAACATTTATTATTATTGGTATTTTTTTATAATTATCTTCTGATTTGAGTGAGATGAAATCTCAATGTAGTTTTGGTCTACATTTCCTTGAACATTTTTTTTTCATATATTTGTTGGCTATTTGTATTTCTTCTTTTGAGAAATATTAATTTTGTTCTTTTGTCCATTTCTTGATTTGTTGTTTGGTGTTAAACTTTTTGGATTTTATGTTTTCTAGATTTTTAATACCCTATCAGAGGAGTAACTGGCAAAGATTTTCTCCCATTCTGTACACACTCTCTTCATGCTCTTAATCAGTTTCTTTTCTGTGCAGACGCTTTTTAATTAGATGCCATCCCACTTACAAATTCTTAGTTTTATTTCTAGAGCTTTAAGGGTCTTATTAAAGAAGTTGGCACCTGTGCCAGTGTGATAGAATGTTAATCCTAGCAGTTTTGCTAGCAGTTTCCAAGTTTCTGGCCTAATTCCTAAGTCTTTGATTTACTTTGATTTGACTTTTGTTCAGGGTGAGTGATAGAGATCTGGTTTCATTCTTCTTCTTATCTATATCCAGTTTTCCTAGTATCTATTTGTTTAAAAGGTTATCTATTCTCCCACATATATTTCTGGCACCTTTTTTAAGTATCAGATGATTGTATCTGTGTGGATTTGTCTCTGTATCTTGTATTCTATTCCACTTGTAATACCATAGGGTTTTTTTTTTTTTTGCGACTATAGTTTTGTAGTATAATTTGAGATATCAGGTATTTTGATGTCTTGGCATTATTCTTCTTGGTCAAGATTGTTTGGCTATTTTTGGTCTTTAATTCTTCCAATGTATTTCAGGGCTGTTTTTTTCTAATTCTATGAAGAATGTCATTTTGATGGGTATTTTGATGTGTATTTGATGGAGATCACATTGAATCTGCTTAATGCTTTTGATAATATGCCCATTTTGACAATATTAATTCTGCCCAGCAAAGAACATGGGAGGTTTTTCCATCTTCTAAGGTCTTCTTCAATTTCCTTTTTGGAATGCTTCACAAACTTGCATGTTATCTTTGTGCAAGGGCTATGCTAATCTCTGTATTGATCCAATTTTGGTATTTGTGTTACCAAAGCAAACAGAATGCAGTAATTCTTAAAGAGTAATTCTCAAACCAACAGCATCAGTATTACCTGGGAACTTTTTAAAAATGCAAATATTTTGACCTAAATCAGAAACTTTAAGTGTAGGGCACAGCTGTATTTTTAACAAGCCTTCCAGCTAGTTCTGATGCACATAAAATGCAATGGCTATGGACAGAGGACCTGTGTTGATGTCAGCAAAAATGGAGGCAATAAGGACATCTGAAAGTGTGCATGTGTTTTCCATAAAAGTCACGAGAATGCTGGCAAAATTGTCAGAATCAACTTTTCCAGAACTCTGAAAATTAATCAAAAAATCTGGGGAGTTTTTTTTTTTTTTCCAAAGAAAAGTGACTGAATTTCTCTAAGAATTGCAAACTTTGTAGCATTTTGATTTGCTTTATTCCGATTTCTTTTGTGTTCTGCTGAATTTCTGAAAATTTCACTCTTCATATGAATCATTTAGGAGTCCGTCAACAATTTGAGGGGAATTTCTATAAAGGTTTTGAGTTTCTTTCTTTGTAGTTCTCTCCTCTTGGGAATTTTTCTCCATGAATTCAGCTATTTTGGCACTTTTGTTCTCTGACCTGTCTCCTCTGTGTAATAAGGTGCTTTCTGTATGCCTCTTTCTGCTCAAACTCTTCCTTGACACCACAATTTGGTAAACTCTGGATGATTTGGAAGCTCACCTCGTGTGTTTCCCTTCTCAAGGATCATAGGCTCTCAAGTTTTACCTGCATGGCTATCTTTTCAGTGCCTTCAAATATTTGTTTTATATATTTTCCTGTTTTTTGTCATTGCCTTTGGTGGGAAGGATAGTCTGAAAGAAGTCAATCAGTAGCAGTTGTAACCAAAAGTCTACCAGATAATTGTTTTTAAAGCTTTTAACAGGAAACACATTTTTAGTCTAGACTCATGGTTCCTTTGCAAATCTTTTAATAAATCCAAATTCAAATTTTAATAAACTTCTGAAAATATTTTCCTTCCAGGAAGTTTTGTAAATAATTATCCATATTCAGAGTTCTTTCCCAGATTTAATTTCAAATCTGGTTTGAATCTTTCCTTCCTCACCTTCATCCTCTGTGTTTCAATTTAATGGTGACTACCTTTAGGCCTTTGGGCTTGAATAGGAAAGCCAGGTTCTTAAACTGAATTTTTTTTTCCATAAAGTTTATTCTTTTTTGTTTGTTTGTTTTTTAACTTTTAAAAAATGTTTAAGGAAAAGATTAATCTTAATTGGCCTTTGTTGATCAAAACCTTCCTCAGTGTTTTATCTCAAGAATTTAGGGTCTAGTGTAAGTCCATATTCCTAGTCATTTGCAGTTCCAAATTTCTGAAATTTGTTTCATTTCTATTTTCAGACAGCCATTTCTTGCCTGTATTTCTCTCTTTCATCTTATTCTTTGCTAACCAGTTAGGAACTGTAATATTCTATTATAAAATCTTTTTCCTTTGAATTATAAACTCAACAGGCACTATACCTGCTTCCCAAATTGCCACAGTGATAGCAATTTTTTAACCAAATGCTTTGAGACTGCATAGCATGTATTTCTATCATTTTAGCACTTAGCTTCACTATCCACTAAGCAACTCTTAAGCCAGTGCCACATATTTCAATATTTTATTATAAGAAATCTTGTTTTCATTAAGCAACATTAGTTTATGTAACAGATGAAGGCTAAACTGTTATGGTTTAACCCAATAGAAGTATATTTCATGAATAGATAATATTCACCTACTGGTGGGAGAGAGGGAGCTTTGGAGAGAGGTTCTGCTGTCTGCTGTAATTCAATGACCCTGTGTTGGAGAGGTGCAGCCATCTACAACTCAATGTTCCCAGTTTTTTTGATAATCATCACCAAAGAGCTAAAAGCTGAATACTGTTTAGTGACAGACAGGAAGGTGAAATTGTCAGAAAAAGGTTATAAATACCAATTATAGCTAGTAACATAATTATTCTATAGATTTAAGCTGTGGTTTTGAAACTGTTGCCATGAACAAATAGCATCTGCACAACCTAGGAATTGTTATAAATACAAATTTGGGGCTGTATTTCATTCCATTTAAATCAGAAACAAAATAGGGCCCAGTTACCTGTTTAATGAACTCACCTGCTCCCCAGGTGATTCTAATGCAAGCTAGTCTTTGAAAGACCACAACTTCACTACATCAATTCTGTGTTGAGACATGGGAACAGTAACTGCAAAGATTTTCTCTCCTTTTGTAGAGTTTAAGCCATTACCTGAAAACTGTTGTGTAAAAGTTTAAGAATAGAAAGATCATTGTATTAAAATAGGGACTATGGATTGGCTTCTTTGACCTTCATAACTTTCTAACACAATTTCCTATGCTGGAGGTACTAGAAAACTAAGAACTCTGCTTCCTAGATACCTTTGTTACTGGAGCTACCAGGTTAGGTTCTGCTAATTGATACATTCATATGAAATTTAGAAGGGAAAAGGGATGTTGTAAGTCAGAGTTACCCATTCTCATTGGTAACAATTCTCTGTGACAGAGATTTCATTGTGTGGTCTTGAGTTCTGTGGCAGTGTGGAGTTAGGGAATGGGTCATCCATTTTGTTTGTGTAGCTTATGCTGGATATGGTGTGGTGCTGGGAAGCTGGAAACTGCAGTGATGGTTTCCCTGAAATGTCAAGCAGATCTAGGTGGTATTTTCCTGATCAGGGTGAGGGCAAATGTTCTTTCTGTGGCCCAGTTTTGCAGTGTGATATGCAGGTAATTATTGGAAGCTCAAATTAGAGCCTATTTTGTCAGCCTACCCACCAGTAGTGAGAGCCATTGGATAACAGATAGAAATCTCTTTGATGCTTAAATTTGCTACAGTGAATCTCTACAACAGGTTCTAAATGATAGAGCAGGTAACACTACTCTCTTCCCCCCAGACTTTTAGCACTTTCTCTAGTTTGTGCTTGAAAACTTTACAACAATTTCTCCTTCGTGTGTCAGTTTTATTTGTGTGCTAGGCATTGGGTAGATCTTTCTTTATAAAGACTTAAAATTTTGTTCCCAGGGAAATTTTTCTATATCATTACATTGATTCTCCCTTCTCTTTTTCTTTATTCTCTAGATATCATTCAATATTTTTCTACACCCTTTCTTTCTTTCTTTTTTTTTTTTTTTTTTGTCTAAATTTCCAGGAGAGTGTTTGAACTTTATTTCCTTCTATTGAATTATTTTTTTTCAACCATGATACTTTTAATTTCTATGATTTCTTCCTTTTCATTTTATACTCATTTTATGGACAGAATATTGTTTGAATACCTCCAAAGATACCAAATAAGGTTTTTTTGTTGTTGTTGTTGTTAAAAGTTCCCTTCTGTTCTTTGAACTCTATTTTCTTCAGTGTCACAGTATTTTCAACTTTAATAGTTCTCCTTCTTATTGAAATATTTCTCTGCTATATTTGCAATACTTCGGGCTTGTGTTCTAATTTGAAAATAACTAATTGGGAGTTCTATGACTGAGTTTGTTGATTAACAGTTTCAATTTAAGGACAGCTAACTCTTCTGGGGAAACAATGAATGTTGGAAATTTGTAATTTTGTTGCAGGGCCATTAAGATTACATATATACACATATATATACATATATATGTACATACATATATATGTATATATACATATATATGTACATACATATATATGTATATATACATATATATATATAAACAAAACATTTTTAACTTTTCTATAAGGGAGAACAGACACCTGGGTTTTTAAATTTTTTTCTGCACAGAATATCATATAGAGTTCTGTTGGCCAATATAGTAGCCAGCAGCCATGTATGACTACTGAGCACTTAAAATGTGGCACATTTCAAGATGCATGGGAATATGAAATCCAACCCAAATTTTAAAGATTAGTGCATGCACGCACGCGCGCACACATACAAACATACACACACTATATAAAAAGCTCACTAACAAATTTTATATTGATTAAAATGTTAATATATTATGTTAGATGAAATATATTAAATTTCATGTTTTTACTTGTTTTAATTTGCTATTTGAAAATTTAAAATTATATGATTCAATGTATATATTGTCCTATTCTAATACAAAGATATCTTCTGTTTTCAGTACTTTATCTTTTGTCTTTTGTACTTTTGTATCTTTTTTGTCTTTTGTACTAATACCTACCATTCTAAAATCCTACATATGTCTAGGATAAGTTTAAATTCACTAGTTTTTCACGTTATCTGTAACTCTTCCTGAGAATCCTTGAATTTTTAGCTTTTTCTATCATTAGTTACACTCCTCAGAACTGTTCTTTAAAAATTTGCTGAAATGTGTCAGATGCTGATATATTCCCATTGCCTTTGTCATTGAGGACTTATACTTTTACATTTAAAATACTATTTTACTATAGGTCCAGGAAGAAGAGGCAATAACATGCTGTTTTGAACACTCTCTGACAAATAGATTATTCAAGCCTAGCAGACATTCCCTAGGTTACATGCCCAGGTACTTCTTCAAGACTGCTAGAACCGAACATTGTAAACAGAGATTCATTTAACTTCTAATGAATCTCATACTTGTAAGAGGATGACGTCAAACTGCAAGTAACTAATCCTGTTTCCTTATCAATGGTTAGGATTGTAATTAACCCAAACTGGCTAATTAAAGAAGAAAAGAAAAGAATTGAAAAGATAGTAGGTAGCTCCCAGAAGACTAGAAAAGCAGACTTGGGAAACTAGCAGGTGGAAGGGGAGGCTGGCTATTGAAATCCTAGCCTGAGGCATGCCACATAACCAGGCTAGCAAGGACACTGCCATCATTTCACTGAGCACCAGCTGACACACACTGCTCCAATAGGGTGGTGCTCTTGGCAACTTGACCACTCAGAGTTGGCTGCTGCTGCTGTCAAAGTAAATCTTTCCCTGACCATGATTCTTTATCTCACCAGGGTCGCCAGAGTCCCTGGAAGGGGTATCTGATTACCAGAGCCTAAGTCATGTGCCAGTAAAGAGTAGGAAT